TCTAAATCAGACAAGTGTTTGGCTTACAAGTTTCAGGCAGCAACTGCTGGGGCGTGGATGTAATTCACGTTTTAGAATGTGGGATGCTACCAGCCTCTCATTGTCAGGGAAATCAATCAGCTGGAGGGTAGCAGCCTGTCTCTGCAGTCATGCTGGCTGTTGTGTCCTTAACTGCATCTGTTGTGCCTGCAGGTTCCTCTTTGAGTCGCTGGGCTTTGTGGTGAGCAGCATCTGCCTCTTGCTGGGGATCTCCCTGGTGATGCGTGTGGACTGTGCCGTCAGCACCTGGTTCAGCCAGCTCCGGCTGAGGTAGCCCTGGAGGCGTGGGGAGCCCAGGCTGCACTTGTCTCCGTGCCTCCCTGGGGCTGGCAGGGGTACACGAGCCCCCAGCAAACGAGTGCCTGCCCACAGCAGCCAGGGATTCTGCCCAGCTCCCTGCTGCTGTGCTGAACAAAAGGACTGGAGCCAACTGCTCCTGCCTCATGGGGATGGTGTTTCTCTGCAGGGGAGGTCAGAGCTCTCACTCTGGGCTTTGCTGGCAGCAGGAGGACTCTGCTGCAGGAGCCCAAGAAGCAAGAGTCCTGAAGTGCTCCTCTGGAGAAACACCAACGGGGATCTTGCTGGTACTTCCCTGATGCCTGCCACGATGTGCAGCTGGTAGGCTTCAGTGGCCAGCAAGGTGTCACCTTGACTGTGCAAAGACTCATGGGATGGAGCCAGCTGAGGAGGGGAGAGGACGCTGGAAGCAGAGGGAATGTCTCACAGCCCCCACTTGTTTCCACATGCTCGGTTTTCACGCTGGAATCACACTGCACATGGTTCCTTGCAGATGGTTCCTGGAGCCTCGGTGGCAGCTACTCCTCTGTAACGTCAGACAGTTGCTCTGTAGTGAGGCCTCTCTTGCCCTGCACTCAGTCCCACTTTCCTGGTTCCCTCAGCCCTGTGAAGTGCAGTGGGGAGAGCTCTGGGCTGCCTTCTACAGCAGGCTTAGCTTGGGCCAGTGGTAGCAGGGGCAGCTGTGTGCATGACCTAGAAATTCTCCACTTCTGTTCTCAACCTGTCCAGGTCCCTGTGGGCTGGGTGGTTGCAGCCAAGGCTCTTGATCTCTTCCTGCCTGTGTGCTGCTGGATGCTGGCTGTTTACTGTGAACAGTTAAGATGCAGGAGGATGTAGTGACAGAATATGGGCTCACACCCATGCTGGGCCTGACCAGCAGGAAATAGGAAGTAGCTGGAGTAGCTGTCCCAGCTACAGGAGTAGCCTTGGTGAGAGCTACAGAGCCTGAGAGCAGCTACTTGAAAGCCTGGAGCAGGCACCAATTCTTTTGGGAAGAGGATTAACTTTCTGGTGTCTGCGTGTGTGTGTGCTGGGTGCTGTGGGCCAGATGCAGTCAATCACATCCATCATCCCATGTTTGGGACTTGTCTCCCCCTTGGCCTTGCCATTCTCTGTGAGACTTCATGTCACAAGTAAACTATGCCAACATGCCCTTGACTGCTCACAGTCAGGAGGCATGGTGTTTCTTTCTTTATGGGCACAGGTGGAGGGTGGTGACCATGGTGCCTGGCCACATCCCAACTCAATGCCTCCTGCAGTTTCCATTGGAACTGGGATTCCTTACTGCCCTGAACCACTGTGTGGCATTACTTGGTGCTATGAAACCTTTTGTCTCTTTCCTCTTTGGAAAGAGACAAGGACTGCTTGCCTGGGATTTCTGCAATGATATTTGCCCAATCCCATTAATTTTTAACTCATGCACCATGACTGCCCCTGTTTGAGTTCGTTACTGCAGACTGTTAGCATAACTCCAGGCTTTTCTTCTCTTCTGCCCTGCAGAGTCCCAGGGAATATCTCTCTCATTATTTCATTTCTTGCCATTTTTCCCAAGTGCCCAGTTGCTGTGGATCTTGAGGGCAGGTGGAATTTTGTATTTTACCCCTGCAAAATGCCTACTCAGTTGTTCAGATGCAATTCCAGTAAGGCTTAAACTGTTCTTGTAATAGGTTTCCATTGCCTGGCCTGCTTCTGATCTGCTGGCTGTGCCCTGCTACCTCAGCCTCTCATGTCCTCTGCTGTGTGGTCCTGCCCAATTTCACCTGTCACAAGCAGGGGCTGGTTTGTAGCTGGCATCACACCCTGGCCTGCCTCACTGCCTGGATGCACAACACCTGTGCTAGCACAAGGAAGGGCTAGTGGCAAACAGTGAGGGAAGCTGAAATCTACAGGAATGCATCAGACCACAATTAAAATGGGCTTAGGCACCCTTATAAACAGGTTATTTGCTGAAATCTGACTGCCTGGTGGCCAAATGCTTCTGAAGGAACAAGGGATGCATCGGTTATGGGGAGGAGGAAGGGGTAGAGGTAGCAGTTACCCAGTAAATTTTCATTTAATGTGAGGTTAATCTGGATAACACACATCGCTAAACCTCAAGGTTGGAGCTCTTGTTGCAACCTCATAACCTGGTCAGAAGCTTTCTGCCTGCCTGTATTTGTGCTGGCAGAAGTCCCTGTGGCTGCTGATAGTGTAGGATTGGCCCCTGATGTCCCCACAGCTGCCACCCAGGCCCCTTGGCTTCCATCTCTGGGACTTGTTTCTCTTTTCACTGGTCACTCCAGTGCAGCTGAGCCTTCCCATGCCCTCTGTTCATGGTTGGAGCACTCACAAAGGGCTTGGGAATCCTCTTCTCACCCCTCTGTGCCACCCCTCTGCCACGTGTGGGCTCATGGTCCCAGGAGGCCAGGGAGAGCAGAGGGAACAGCAGAGCTGTAGCCTCATCAAAGGACACACTTATCTCACCAGAGACTGAACAAAACTTGCAGTGGAAGAGCTGCAAGTGCATCCTTGTCACTGCAGAGATGCCATGGAGTGCTGGCTGCTTGGACACGGCAGGCTGGCTGCTACACCAAAGATTTCAGATTCACGAAGATGAGTTTTCCAAGGGCTGGAGATGCTCTTGCTTCGTTTCATTGACTGTTTCAGTCTTTGTCAGCCTTCCTCAGCTGCCCTCAAGCTGATTGTTTGGCTGCCATTTTTCTGAGCATGCTGGGGATTACAGAGTTAATGCCAGTCTAGGGCCTGGCGACCTTGGAAGCAGATCATGCTGCTGATGCTACAGCAGACAGGGCTGTGTTTGCTGATCTAAAACCCCAGGAGGGGGTTGCCTCCTAGTCCAAACCAAGGCTCTTTGGGAAATGTGGAGTGCTGGGGAGGAGGTTTTGCCCCACATGCCTCCAAAGAGGCCATAGGACCCCACTTGGCTCTAGATGAGTTATCCAGACAGTTAACTTCTGGTCCCTGTGTCCCTGGGCTGAGTGTGACAGGGGACAGGGTGCTCAGCTGAGCACCTTTTCGTCCTGCACTCCACAATCTTTCTGCACTTTGGGTTTTGCAAGTGCTGTGCATGTGTTTCTTGGCAGGGGAGAGCCATTGGGAAACTTCCTGGCTCAGGCCCATGGTGTGTCCCGTGGACCTGGCACAGAACAAAAATTCAATTGTGTCTCTTTTGCTGCCTAGAAAATAGTGACCAAAAGCTGCGGCCACTGTGAAGAGTTGTGAGTGTTGGGAGCACCTGCAGCTCTGGTCCGTGGGGCTAACACGGATCCTAAGGGATGGCACTGTTTTGGGGAGCCCAGGGCTCATTCCAGCTCTGTTCCCACAGCCATTCCTCTGTCCCATCTCTCTCTGGTTTTCCCTCAACTCTTCAGGCTGCTTTTTTATGCCAAGGCCCTGTCCCAGTCCCAGTGTGCATGTACCCCCTTCCCCTCAGGAAGCAGCAGTGCTGGGGAGCCCTGCTCTCTCCTCTGAACCCTGACTCAGTGCACCACGTGGCTTGGAGCAAGATTGTTGTTTTATTTTTTATTAACTCTTTGTACCTCAATCCCTCATATGGGGGAAAAAAAAAAGGGGATGGACCCAGTTGTGGAAAGCTGGGAGCTCTGCATGCAGCATGGTGCTACACTTTCCTGGGTATCTACATATCTGGCTGTCAATGCTTTCATTCACATCCAGCAGCTACACCTGGAAGGTGGAAGCCATGCTCAAGTCTCTGCTGGGAAGCAGAGCCTTTTTCTTTTCAAAAAACCCTCCAAAACAGGCAAGTAGGCTGTGCTTGTTCGCCTGGCGTCCTGGGCATGGCACGACCAACCCCATGAGGCAGCCAGGAAGGGGTTGCTCCGGTGTTAAATTGCATAATTAATTAATCGTGAGTAGAGGGGAGGTGTGATTTGCTGTCCAAGGGTGGCACGGGGCTCCGGGCAGCTGTGAAAATGATGTCTGCAAATAAAACGGTGAAAGCCAATGAGAGGCACCTCATTGTTCCATCCCTCTCCCCAATCCATCTGGGGTCTCCTTCAGAGGGACCTTCATCTATAGTTTCCTTCTGGAGGGTTAGGCGCCGGTCCCTTCTCTGCAGGAACCAACAACAGGACCCGAGGGAACGGCCTGCACCTGTGTTGGGGGAGGCTTAGGTTGAGCTAGGGTCCAAGACTCGGGGTTTAGGAAAAGATTTCTCCAGGAGAGTGGTCAGGCCCTGGAACAGGCTCCCCAGGATAGGGGTCTCGGCTACAGGCCTGACGGCGTTCAGTAAATCTTTGGGCAGTGCCCATGTGTGATTCTTGTGGGGCCTGCACGGAGCCAGGGGTTGCATCGCTCACCTCTCGGGACCCTTCCAGTTCGGGGTCACGGAAAATGGCCTCCGTTTGGGCCACTCGCCCTGGCCGACAGGGCGGTGCCAAGCTAGAAATTGGCAAACTTTGCTGGATTTCTCCAAATCTAAAACTGCCACCAACTAGGACCTTGCAAGCCCTTGGAGCCCGAAATGCCACCTTTAATCTGACACTGAGACCCTCCGACTTCTGGCTTCGCTTTGCGCCGAGGTTTGTCCCTCCGCGGCCTCCCCCTTCACGGCGCGCGCCCCTTCGGCCCCGCGCTTCTCCGTTGCCTTGGTGACGGCCGTTCCCGCCAATCGGCGGCGAGGGCGGGAAAGGCGGCGGCGGAGGATGGCGGCGGCCATGAAGCGGCGGCGCGGGACGGACCCGGACCCGGACCCGGACCCGGGGCCGGGGCCGGGGCCGGGGCCGGAGCCGGAGCGTGAGCCAGAGCGGGGCTGCCTGCGGGCCTGGGCTGCCCAGAGCCGGGCGGTGGTCGGGCGATGGACGGTGCGGCACGTCCTCTTCCTTCCCCCCCCCCCTCCCGCCCCCCTTCCCCGAGGTGCGGGGCTGCCGCCGGTGCCGCTCCGCAGCCGGGCCGGAGGTAAGTGCGTCCCTTGCAGACGGCGCGGTGCGGCGGAGAGACGCGGCGAGTGTGCCGGCAGCTGCGAGACGAGCTCCTGGAGCTGCTCCGGAGCATCCGCGGTGAGTGGCGGCCGCCCTGCCCCGCCTTCACCTGCCGGTGCTGTCCCGGGCCGGAAGCGTGTGCCGTGGAAGCACCGGGTCCCTGACATCTCTGCTTACCGGGATGCAGCTCCGGTGTCCCGGTGCTGGAAACGAGCGCTGAAGGCGGCGGGATGAAAGGGTTCCCGCTGCCCAGCGCTAAACGGGGCCTGCTGCAAGAGAGTTAATTCCAGAATCATCAGGGCTGGAAGGAATCTCTGATCACCCGGTCCAACCCCCGTGCCAAGGCAGGGCCACCTGGAGCAGGTGACACAGGAACACATCCATGTGGGGTTTGGATGTCTCCAGAGAGGGAAACTCTACAACCTCCCTGCACAGCTGTTCCAGTGTTCTGCCACCCTCAGCTTAAAGTTCTTCCTCAAGAAGAGCCTGAGGTGGAGCTTCTTGTGTTTTAGTTTAAGGACATTGCTCCTCTAGTTTCAGCTACAGTATCCCAGTGCTGGAAACCAGCCAAGGTGAAATGATCTCTGCTGCCCTATGCTGACCTGGGCCAGAAAAGGACTTACTGTCCAGCCCCAGACTCCACCTTAATTGGGCAGAGCTTTGGGGTTTCTGTAAAACAACAGTGAGACAGCCTTTTCTGTAGGAAGCCAGGGAAGAGGCTCTCTGACACAGGTGTGGTGCAGAGAAAGCCCAATGTGAGGCAGCTTTACTTTTAGTTTTCTCAGTTCCTCAATGCAAGAGAGACACAGAACTCCTTGCAAGGGTCCAGCAGAGGGAAATGAGGATAACCAGGGAACTGGAACATCTTTCCTACAAGGAAAGCCTGAGCAATCTGGGTGTGTTCAGTCTGGGGCAGAGGAGACTGAGTGGGACCTCATTAATGTCTGTCAGTGTCTGCAGGGAGGGGTCAGAGCAGGGACCAGGCTCTGCTCGGTGGTGCCAAACAGCAGCATGAGGAATGGGCAGGAACTGATGCACAGGAAGCTCCACCTGGACATGAGGAATAACTTTACCCTGGTGACTGCACAAATTTCCCTAAAAGGTTGTGGAGTCTCCCTCGCTGGAGATACTCAAAAACCATCTGGATGCAATCCTGTGTGCTCTAAGATGGCCCTGCTTGAGCAGGGAGATTGGACCACATGAGCCACTCTGGTCCAGCCCTACCCATTCTGTGACTCTGTGATAAGGAGAGAGACACAGTGTGTGAAAGGGTGGATATGTACTGGAACAGAGTAGGCTGTTGATGCTCCTCTGGGAGAACTGAATGTCCTGGAGGACTGCAGCATTTTGGTCACTGGGGAATGGATGTCTAGAGCAGTGTTGGCACCTGGAGTGTTGACACATGCTGTCTGTCTGGCACTGCAGCTCCCAGGTGGCTAAATCACACCACAATCACTAAAAACTTCTTGCCAAGCCACTTCTCTTGTCACCAAGCCAGGTGTTGAGCATGGATAGCTGTTTATTCTTAGCCAGGTAAATTTCTTGTTGGGTTGCTGTGCCCACAGGGCTGCCAGTTGCCCTCCCTGCCCTGCCTCTGGAACTCACTGTCCTCTACAACTCCCTGCTTTTCACTGTGGGAGCATCTGACTCTGTCATCAAAGGAGAAGCAGAAGGAATACGCCAGGGGCTCCTCAGGGGTAAGGATGTGGTTGTTTGTTTGGGGAGTTCTCTGGGGATACTTTGTGACTGGCTTGAGGTGCAGGAACTGTGAGCAGACACTCCTGGCTCTGCCAGGGAAGGCCAGAGATGGGGGAAACTGTGAGCAGACATGCCTGGCTCCACCTGGAAACTGTGGGCAGGCACCCCTGGCTGTGCTTGGAGAGGCTGGAGATGGGGGGAACTGTGAGCAGATATCCAGGCTCTGCCTGTAAGGGATGGAGGTAGAGTGGCATGTGGCCAGGGACAATGTGCAGCTGCCTGCCTGCTGCTGCCTGCAGGGATGGGCTGGAGGTTTCAAGGGAAACAAGGGTTTTTAATGTATAAGATGCCAAGTCTTGAGCAAAGTTCTAGTGACAGTAGAAAATGAGTGTTTTCTTTAATTATGGTGTGCTGGCTTCAAAGAAGCTTACTGAAACAGGCTGCAGAGGTGGATCTGCAGTGTTGGCACATGCTTACCTGAGGGCAGATGACTTCAGCAGCACTGGAGTCCAGCTCTGAGTTGTGCTGTGTATTGTCTCTTGAATGTGCTGCTGTCATCTCCTCTCTCTTAGAGCTTGTTTTCCATTCTGCTGAGGCTAGGCTGGCTCTGTAACCCCATTCCTTCCATCGCTACAAGGAGCCTGTGCTTGCTTGAGGCTCTCTCTCCCTCTTGCATCCAGGGTGTCTGTTACAGGGCACCAACACGTTGTCTCACAGCTCTAGGTCTTTTTGCTTCGTTTTTTTTTTTTTTCCAGTTCTGGAGGCTTGTGGGGCCTGCGGACAGGATCTTGGCACGGAGGAGCTGTGGGAAAAGGTGCTGCAGGAGGTAACCGTGGAGGAGCTGCAGGCACCTCTGCGCCGCCTGGGGGCCCTGCAAGCAGCCTGGTGGCTGGCAGCCAGCCAGCTGGCAAGTGTTGCTGGCCTCTTCCAGCTCCTGAGCACCGCTGAGGTAACTGGGCACAGGCAGATGCCAGCAGAGCTGGCATAAATACTGTGTTTGTCCTAAAACTCACTCTGCAAAATATTGTTGTGGCACTTGGACAGCTGAACCCATTAGTGCTGCCCAGTCAGCATGACTAATCCACCCCGTGGCATCCCAGCATTGCCTAATGACCCTGAGAGTGTTAATGGATCCCAGAATATTCTGCCTTTGTGGGCCTTGGACCTCTGTGTGTTGGACAGGAGACTTGGGCAGGCTGGAAGAGGGCTGCACATAGACTAGCAGACTCTGCAGGGAACAGCAGTGGGATGCAGAACCTTCCCTGCTGATGGGTCCTGTCTTTCTGAATGAACTCCAACAGCTGCCTGTTGCATGCCAGGAGGCCCTGGAGGTGCACCCCACGCTGAGGTGGAGAGGTGCTGCCCCAGGCCAGGCAGGAATCACTGCAGAAGGGGGGTTGTAGCTGAAGGGAACAGATGGTAGGACATTGCTCCCACTGCAGAGAGCAGTGTTGACTGGTTGGGTGGGAGCTGTTTCTCTGTGCATTTGGACCTATGTTTCCTGCTTCCCTTCAGCATTCCCTGCTCTCTCTCCTCTGTGCCTTCACAGGACCGAGGAAGAGCTCACTGCAGTGAGGGGCAGAACAAGCTTCTCTCCCTGATCAAGGCATGGCGGGTCCCTCCTGAGGGGGCCTCCCTGCCCCTTGTACAAAGTGCCAAGGACTTGAAGGAAATCCTCCACACTGCAGCAGCCTTCCTGCAAGGTTTGTGGGGGGCAGGAACTCAGGCCAGCACAGTCTCCTGCTCCTCTGTCCCAGGAACACTTTCCGTGCTCTCACCCTGGTTCCTCTTCCCAAGCCAACTGGCCCTTGGGGTTTTTCGGGCTGTTCCTTTGGAAGTGGGTCTGGGCTGAGCCTCTGAGACTCAGCCTTTACATTCCATATTGAAAAAGCTTCCCTGCTTTTCCCCAGCTCATCCCTTCTCTGCACTATCACAGGGTTCCTCGTCCTGTCTGTGGCTGTAGGGGAAGAGTCTGGGCCCTGCAGTGACCTTAAAGCAGAAGGCTGGCAGGGGATTTATGAAGATTTTCCTTTCTTCTGGAACTTGCCTTGTTGCAAGCACCTTGTTCCTGTCACACTATGGTGCTGCAAGAGCTACACAAAGCTGTTGTGAGGCTTTGTAGCCTGGTGTCACAGCAAACAATGGATCTCCTCTGGCTGCTGTGTTCTGTCCTGCCTATTTTCTCTCCTTTACTGTTTTGACAATCCCAGCAGCTCCAGGGACAGCCAGCACTGCCTCACTGTGCTTGGGCTCCTACAGGGCCTTCCTGCCTGTAGAAAATGTGAGTGTGGTGCTGCTATGTGAGAGTAGCCTCAGAGGGAAACCTAAAAAGAAGACTGAAGAAGAGGCAAATGAGTTGTAATAAATATTAATTAATTGATATCCCAAAGCATCCTGCTGGGAAATGACCCAGATGTGCTGAAAAAATTCTGAAGTTCTGTGTGTGCCTTCCATATCTGCACTGCTGTCATTGTGCGTGAATGTGGAGATGAATTTGCCCAGCACATACCCCTGGCCTTGTTCTGGGCCAAAGGAAGCATCCTGGGCTTGGCAGCAGCTGTTATTCCTGCTGAACATTTCCATTGATGGATTGTTCTCTTGCAAAACCACTCAAGCCAAGATGGCAGCTTGGCACTGTCGGGCTGTGCATCGCTGGGTTTGGAGGGGATCAGGCAAGTCCCTATGGCTCTGGGAAGGAAAGGGCACCACACTTGTTTGGGGCAAGGTGGGACACAAAAGTGACCCACAGAACCAATATGTTGGGTCTGTCCTAGGGCTGCAGGAGCTGGAGGCTGGGAACTTCCCCACTGCCCTTTCCCTCCTTCAGGAAGCTGCAGGAGGATTCTGCTCCAAGAATATCCTGGCCCAGATCCACACCTGCCTTGGCTGCTGTGCTCAGCGAATGGTAATGACAGCAAAAGGGGAAAGGCAGCTGTGGGGAGGGTGGGCTCAGGCTCATGTCCACAATGCCTCTGTGTGGTCCAAGGCCTCTCAGGGAGGTAAGAAATTGCAGAAATTGCCCTTGTGGCTCCAGCCTCTTGGACAGGCTGCAAAATCCATGCCAAGATTATGGCTGATTGCAAAGTGTTACTGCAGAGAGAGAAGCTCAAAAACCAACCTGAGGAGGGCTGCCTTTGTCTAAATTGCTGTCCTGCTTAGTGAGGCCCTCTTAGGGAAGCAGAGCAAGGATCTGGATCCTACCAAACTGTAAAGACTTCTGCAGGATGTGCTTTCAACATGTGTGTCTTCCTGTCCACCTAGGGCAAGCCTCAGACAGCCCTTCAGCACCTGAAACGGGCCCTCCAGGTAGATTTCCAGTGCCTTCCTGCCCTGTCCCACGTGGCAGCAGTGTACCATGACCTGGGAGAGATCGATACAGGGCTGCAGGCCCTGACCCTGCTCTACGAGGTTTGTCTGGTTCCTGTCGTTCTGGGATGAGTTCTGCCCAGCAGAGCCTGCACGGAGTTTCCAAAGCAGGCTTCTTCCTTCTCCTGGACTCCTTCCAGGCTCTTTGACCCTGGAAGGAGTCCCCAAAATAGCATGGTGCTGCCTTCAGCAAATGGGCAGGAAGGAGTCCACCGAGATCTGAAATTCCTGCTCAGCACCACGTTCGGGTGTGGCAAGACTTTGGGTCCCAGTTCATGTTTGTGGTGGCTTGGGAGGTTATAGTCTCAGGTCAGAAAGTATCAATCTCTTAGTAAAGTATATAATAGCAAGGAGACTTTTAGGGGCAGATTTTGGCTGCAGTTAGGCAGAGTGCATTAGCTGTGTGAACCAGCAGTAGTCCCTGAATTATCTCTTCAGCTGTTTGAAAATTGTCAGATACATACAGAGAGGGGAGGGAGCTCTCTCCTTAGGTCTAACTAGGTCTGTGGCTGCAATGGGAGATGGTGTTCCAGGCAGCTCAAAGTATCTTGAACTAGAAGGTACTTTGAACTGAGGCAGTCTGGGTGATCTTGCAAATCTGGTGCCATGTGGAGATCAGAAGACTGCCTGCCCCTGTGTGATCCTCATGGCTCTTGCTGGAAGTCACTGTGAGAACAATGTAGTTGTGCTTGTGAAGTGCAGCACTTCTGCTTGCCTGAGTACATCTCCAGATGTCAGAAGTGACAAAAAATTGCAGCTGCCTGAGACTTGACCAGTCTAGTGTTGATAATATTTTCTGTTCCTCTTTCACAGGCTCTGGGAAAAAGCCCTCCACCAGCTGCTTCCTCTGCTCCCCATTTCCTAATGCAAACAGAGCTGCTTGTCCACACACCAGTACTCACTTCCCTCCTCCGGCGTTGCCACCCCTCGGAAGTGAAATACCTTCTGGCACAGTGGTGTCTCCAGGATGGGAGGTAACAGTGCCTCTGCTCTGCTTGCAGCATGCTGCTTGTTTGGGCTCTGCAGTTTTCCCTGTGCTCCCGGAAATGGTCCAGTTTAGAGCTGCCGTTGTAGGCTTGCTCAAAGCACAGAGATTGTGAACAGGGCAGTGTGGTGCAGGGTGGGGGGGACTGCAGGCTGGCAATCCAGGTTTCACCTGGCTGATGGCACTTCCACCACATGTCCTGTTGTGTTGCAGGGTGGCTGATGCCGTGGAACATTACCTGGATTTTCTGTCTCTCCTTCAGGAGGGGCTGCAGCAGCAGGTGGGTGTCCTGGTACAGAGTTCCCTTGGTGACTTGGAGGATGAGGGTTGGAGGGATCCAAACCCAGTCCCAGGGGCTGGGCCCAGGCATCAGCCCTGGACTCCAGGCTTCAGTGTCTAGTTTGGGATGTGAAGGAAATGAGGTAGGGGCTGATGTAAAGGAAATTAAGTGTGGACTAGCACCTGTGGCATGTCTGCCTTTGGATTCACACCAGAGAGCACTCCCCATTGCTATTTGGAGAGACAGCTTCCCCTTCCCTCTGGGGAGCAGCTGTCAGCCTGATTTTGGATGTCCTTCACTTCCAGAGTAGGGACTTGATGCCTTGACTCTGCTGAGCTGTGAGCGCTTTCCATCTTCTGCCTGCTCCACCAGGCTCCAGGGACTGTGGGAGAAGGCTTGAGCTTTGCTGGGCAGCAGCTCCACATTCCCAGTATGAACAGAGTCATGCTGCTTGGCAGAGAACTCTGCAGTTCTGCAGCACTGATGTCACTTTTGCTCCCCAGGTGCCCCTGGACAGCAGCTCAGCTCTGCCCAGGATCCCAGAGGTGTTCCTGGAAGCAGCATCTGCCTTGGAGCAGGCTGGGAGGCACCAGGATGCCATAACTGTGTGTGAGGAGGTCATCAGCCGGACAACTGACCTCATTCCACGGGTGTTACGGGTGGAGGAGAGGCTGGAGCAGCCGGAGTCCTCACTGCCAGGGGCAGAACTGGCAGGTGGGCTCCTGTCCCAGAAGAAGGAGAGCCTGTGCTGCCTTGCCTGGAGAGCAGCTGGATACCTGCACCAGGGCTGGGCGTGGGCCAAACTGGGCGAGAGCAAGGAGGCTGTGACACAGTTCAGCAGGTGATAAAGCCCTGCTGGGAAAAGGGGCCTCCCCAGCAGGCAGCTGTGGATGGTGGGGCCAGGGCAGGATACAGCATGGCACTGAGGCTGCTCTGACAACCTGGCACTCTTGAGAGCCCAGGAGTGGCTCCAAAGCTCCTTTGGCCTCCCATCCACAGGTGCCTTAGTGATCTCCTGCGTGTCCAGCTTCACGGGTCTGGCATCAGACAGACAGGTAGGACACCACACAAGTGGGACCTGTGTGGGGCCTTGCCTGGGTTAGGATCTGTGTGATTGGCAGTAGCAGGTGCAGGGCAAGGTGGTGGGTACAGCACCACTCTGGCAAGAGGCAGTTGTCCCAGGGTGCAAAGCTCTGGGCCACGCTGAAGCCTCTGAAGAGACTGGCTGTGTTTTTTTGGAGCAGAGTTTGGCCTTGGCTCTGCCTCCTTCACTGCCTAGGCAGCAGTTATAAAGGGGCTGTGAACTGGAAAGCTTCTCCAATTCGGTTTTTGGGGAAAGATATATGCCAGTGGTGCAGAGGGACAGCCAAAGGCCAGGTTGCTGCTGAGGTCACTGTTCACCACAGCCATGTAACATTCTGGGCTCTTGACATTCTTCACTCTCCCCCTCTGCTGCCTCCCGACCTCTTCCAGCCTGGCAGAGAGGCTGAGCTTTGCCTCTGTCTCCAGAGCTGGAGGATGAGCAGCCCAAGGAAATGCTTGGCCTGTCCTGACTGCTAACCTGGCTCAGCCTGCTGGGAACAGGGGAGTTCTAGAGCATCTGAAGGATGCTGTCTTCATGTGTGTGTGTCTTCCTGTGGCAGAGAATCTCCAGGCAGAAGTGGAGGTGCTCCAGAAGATCAGGTTCCTCTCTCTCATCGGGCGAGGTACACAGTTCCTGGAGATGGGGAGGAACAAAGAAGCCCTGTTGGATTTCCAGCACAGTTTGCAAATCTCACCAGGTAACAGGCTCATTTTGGCAAGGAACACAAGGGATTTCCACAAATTTGTCCTGGGCTGCTTTGCTGTATTCAGCAGGATGTTCTTATGCTTTATACCACATTTATATACTATACATATAATATACATATAATATACACATAATATACCACTGTGTCAAGGACAACAGTAGGGCCACTAGCAATGTTACATACTAGAGACACTTCTGTGGGGTCTGGTCAGCTCACTGGCATGGAGAAACAGACCAAAACTATCGTCAGAGCCCTGACAACAACCTGTGCTCTCAGGTAGCTTGGAAATTTCCTTCTCAACCCCAGCTTGGCAGCAGCAGATACAGGGGCAAGGCGGTGGGCACAGCATCACTCTAGCAAGAGGCAGTTTTCCCAGGTACAGCCAACTTTCTCCCAGTCAGGTCTGCTTTCCCAGAACAGAGGAGTGGAGCTGTGCTTCACCTGAAGAAGCAGCAAGTCCGTGCCTGGCAGTACAGAGGCGCCTGCAAAGGGAACATTCCTGTCTTGAGCTCAGCCAAGGCACAGCTAGTGCTGGTGACAGGGCTGCTCTCTCCTCTGAGTGCTCTGACATGCGGAAGGGGTGTGAGCTCCACCAGGATCTGTCAGACCTGCTGGTCCCAGTCTTGCCCGTGGCTGCTCCCTCTGGGGGTGCGGACGTGCCTGCAAGGAGAACCCCAGTCTGTGTCTAGAGAGAGGTGTGGCAGGCTGTGCCCCAGGGCTGATGCCATCTGCCAGCCCTGAGGTTAACCAGAGCCTGTGACACAGCCAGGACAGCCTCCTCCCCATTTCACCACCTCCCCTTACACTCACTGACCTCGTCTGGCTGCTGAGCTGCTTTTGTAATGCCCTGCAACCCACAGCAGTGCTGAGGACCTGCTCCTCCTCTGCTAAGGGTTGATCTTGCTTCCTGTCTTGCAGGTGACCCAGCTGCTGCCTCCTACCTGGTGCAGGCCTTGTGGGAGCTGAACCGGAAGCAGGAGGCGGCTGCTCAGTGGCAGAAGTTCTCCCAGAGCTGCCCTGCAGAGGATGGGCAGCAGCAAGGGCAGGGAAGGTGTGTAGAGGGGTGGGTGAGGTCTCAGCAGTGCAAATTCTGTCAGGCCATGAGGGCAGTTTAGGTGTCCGAGGAGCTTCCCCTGGTGACTGCTCCGAGGGGCCACAGGCTGTGGCTCTGCTGGGACTCCCTGGGGCACAGAAGAGCTGACAAGGAGCAAATGGGGAGGACAGAACTGCAGGTGGAGCAAGGGGACCTGCAGAACAAATGTCTTGTTGCATGGCAAAGGAATGCTGCAGTTCTCACTGCTGCCATGTTCCCCTCTCTTTCAGGCCCCTCCCTTTGTACCTGGTTTCATGTCAGGAGCAGGCAGTGTTCCCTCACAGTGAAACTCTTGCCAGAAGCATACAGGATTACCTCAGGGCAGCAGCCCAGGACACCCCAAGGTGACCTGGTCATGCCCCCATTCCCATCTGCTGAGGTCTCCCTGCACTTGGCTGGCGCAAGGACTTTAAGAACTCCTTCAAGACTCAGAATTACTCTGTGATGAAGCTAGATTCCCAAAGGACTGAAACAGAATACATCTCCTTTTCTAATAAACAACTTAGCTCTGTTTAGCTTTGGGTTTTTCCATGCTCTTTTTCCAGAGAAATGTTGCAGTCATGGCCTTGACACTGCCTCCAGCTACTGCGAGCCCATGGGCTGTGTGCCTGGATATGTGAGAGATCAAGGGCAGAGATACCTTCATCCTCTGTGCCCTGTGCATGGTGGGGCTGGCTCTGCACTCGGGCTGCAGGGAGCTGGTGGTCTGTCCTGTCTGTGCTTTGTGTGCCAGCTTTTTGCTTGGTTACTGTGGTTTGAGCCCAGACAACTGGTTCTCTCTGAGGTGTGCAGCTCAGAGGTCTGAAATTCACTGTGCTGCTCCAGTCCAGACCCACACCTGCATGTCCCCTGTGGTCCTGAGGGTCTGTGCCAATGCCACAGCTCCAGGCCCCTCTCCCTCAGGGGTGAAGGAGCGCATGTCCCTGCCCCGTGTCTGGTGGAGATTTTTTTGGATGAGGAAGGTGCCCTTACCCTGTTGCCCAAGCCTTTGGAAAGCCTTGCCTCCCACAAGAGGGAAGGAGTGCTTGGGATCTGCAAGGCCAAGGAGTGAGGGGAAAGAGGGCATGACAGCAAGGTAGGAGCTGCTGCAGCCTCCTGTGAATGCTGGAGGGACAGAGAGGGGCTAGGGTGGGCTCTGACCTGCAGTTCTTTCAGAAAAACACCTTGGCTGGGCTATCCTGGGCTGCACCCAGAGCCCCGTGGGCAGCAGGGCAGGGAGGGGATTCTGCCCCTCTGCTCTGCTCTGCTCTGCTCTGCTGAGACCCATCTGGAGCACTGCATCCAGCCCTGGGCTCCCAGCACAGGAACCACAGGGACCTGCTGGAGCCAGCACAGAGGAGCCACCAAGGTGATCAGAGGGATGGGGCAGCTCTGCTGTGACTGAGAGAGCTGGGATTGTTCAGACTGGGAAAGGCCCCGGGATTCCCATGCCTTCAAGGTGCCCCAGCATTGCTGGAGAGGGACTTTTTTCAATGACATAGAGCGACTGGATGAGGGATAACTGTTTCAAACTAACAGAGGACACGGTTAGATGCGGTATTAGGAAGAAATTTTTCCCTGTGAGGGTGCTGAGGCCCTGCACAGGTTGCCCAGAGAAGCTGCGGCTGCCCCTGGCTCGCTGTGAGCGTTCGAGGGCGGGCTGGATGGGGCTCTGAGCAGCGTGGCCTGGCGGCCGGTGCCGGTGTCGGTGTCGGTGCCGTGTCAGGGCGGGCCCGGCCCCCCCCTCACCCTGAAGCCGCGGCCATTCCCCGACCACGAGCAGGAACGAGGCGGCGCTGAGTGGCGGGAACAGGCGCGCGTGCGCACCACGCCCCTTCCCATTGGCCCTGCCCTCGGGAGCTGCTCAATCAGCGGCGGCTGTGAAGGCGGGACTTCCCTCCCGCATGTTCCCGTCTGTGGCTCTTCGCCATTGGCCTCGCGGCAGCTGTCGCTCGAAGGGTGAGCCGCACTGCGATTGGCTGCGCATAGTGGCGCCTGGCTGGTGACGATTGGCCAGGGCACACAGAAGGGCGTGGCTCAGGCGGAGCCCTCCGTCTTTCTTTTTCCCTCTCTCCCATTGGCCGAGACGGCGGCCGGCCGGAATTTCCGATTGGCCGGCATACGCTGTTGCTAGGCAGGCGAGGCGGCGTGGGCGGGGCTCCCCTCGCCGATGAGTCGGCGCTGAGGCTCAACCAGCGCGGACGCTCCAGACCCTCCGCCCGCCGCCCGCGACCCCCGCGACCCTCCGGACTCCCCGCCCGCTCCGAGGAGCCGCCGTCCGCCGCCCCTCTCCCCCTCCCCGCAGCGCCATGGCCTCGGGATCCGAGTAAGTGCGGGCCCCACCGCCTCCCCGCGGCCTAGGCCCCGCCGCGGCCTGGGCCCGCTCCGGCCTGCCCGCTTCACCCGGGGCGGCCCGCGGGCCCCAGGCGGGCGAAAGCGGCGCCGGAACGGGGATGAACCGCTTCCCGCCGCCCGCCCCGCCCCCGCCGGGCCTGGCCGGGAAGTGTCGAGTCATGGCGGGGGGGCGAGGCCGCGCCGGGCCTCCCGCCGTGCCTCCGCCGGGCCTAGGGCCGCCCGCCCGCCGGGCCCTGAACTACGGAGGGCTTTGTTTTCCAGCCCCGTCCCGGGCTCCCTCTGCTCGCAGCGGCCCGGGAGCCGGGGCTGGCGAGTGATTCGGCGCCAGCCGAGGCCGACATGTTGTGCCGGGCAGGGCCGAGGCGGTCGGCGGTGTTTCCGTCTCGGGTGTCTTGCCTCTCTCTTGTTGGCTGTGCTCAGTTACAGGCTGAGGATCGTCTTCCGTGCTCCCCGGCAGTGAGTAACAGTCTCCGCACGCAGCCCACGTGCATTTTCAGCGGAGTAAAATAGAACCCAAAAATAAATTTTCCCAATCTGGAAATACTGAAAGTGACTTTTTGATTTCGCTAGAGGCATTTTTGGTCCTATTTAGTGTATTTTGGTGTTCTTTGAGTAGGTTTTTCCTCTTTTAAACAACTTTTGGAATCTAAAAGTGCTTGGCCCTGCGGGGTCAGTTCAAGCGAAGTGTGCCGGGCATTCAGTGTCTGTAGTGGAAGTGACATTCCCAGACCCCTGTTGTGCAGCTGGGTGAGGTTAACAGTGTTTTTAAAAAGGTATTTCTACTTCAGCAAAGTTTTTCTCACCCACGCAGGGACCAGAAAAAGTTTGTTTGCAGCTGGAACATGGTCACTTTTTAGATGCCATTTTTTGTCACAGCTGCTGGCAGCCATCTTGCTGAACCGAGCCTCAGCATGGCAAGTAGCATTCCAAAAGCTAAGAGAGTGTGATTTCTGAAGGGATCCCTGTTTTCCTCTCCCAGCCTCTCTGAAACAGTGTTGAAAACTTGGTTTCTCCGCAGTGTGTCTAAACTGCCACCTTGGTTGTCTTACTTCAGTGTCTGTAGTCACCACATACCTCAGATACTTGGGGATAAAAATGCTTTATGACTATTTTCTTTAATACCTACCTGGGAAAAGCAGTTCAGTCTGTAAATCATATGTTCAGATTGGTAAGGAATTGCTCACAGGTTTTATCTGGGAAGTGATTTCACAACGATGGTGGTAAAAAAGTCACGTCAGTGTGCAGAAGACATGGCTGATTTCACTTTCGTTACTGCAGCTGGAATCATTCTGGGAAGTGCCTTCTCCCTTATTTTTAGCACGGGCTTGAAGGAAAGGAAACAGCTTGTTTCCTTACTTTAAGCAGGGCTTTGGAGGTTAGTTGTCATTTTCAGAAGAATCACTAATTGGTAGCCACTTTCTGCTCTTGTTCTTCATACCCTGCCCTGTGATGGCTCTGGGCATTATCAGTTGTTGAACAAGGGGAGCTCTGACATGGAGAGAAACCACCAGTCGTGTAATTAAGTCCATGAGGCTGTGTCAGGGAAGGCTGAGATTGGATATCAGGTAAAGGTTTATCCTGAAGGTGGTCAGTCACTGGAACAGGCTCCCTAGGGAAGTTGTCACAGCCCCAAGCCTGGCAGAGGTCAGGAAGCATTTGGACAATGCTCTCAGGTACATAGTGCGATTGTTGGGGCTGTCCTATGCAGGCCCAGGAGTTAGGCTTGATAATCCTGATGGGTCCCTTCCAGCTCAGGTTATTCTGTGAGTCTGTAAGTTGTAGGAAGTCCCCCTGGTCCTCCCATGTGTGAAATAAAGCTGTTGAACTGCATTATTGCAAGAGAAAAGGAGGCTGAGGGAGCCTGTTCATGGTTGGCCTTTAGGGCTAATACATCTTTGCTTCAGTTTTATAGATGTCTTGCACTTTATGTGCAAGCTTGGCCATTTGCTGTTCTGGTGATTGTGTCCTCACTTCTGGTTTCTGTCTAGGGGCAGCTTAATACAGATCTTGAATTACTTTTTAATTCCAGAACAGCTCTAAAGCTACGTTTTGTGTTCAGTTTGTCTGTTTGTTAAGTCAGAGAAAGAAAGGGGTGAGAGGGAAAGCATGTGAGGGAGCTGACGAACTGGGTAGGTCAGGGAGGTGATTTGGAAGGTTTCCAGCAGGCTGTCTCTGACCAGGCTCATCAAAGAACTTCAAATATTACCTGGGTTAGCTTTCTGTCCCTGTCCTTTCCCAAAGTTTCCTGGCAGGAGAGAGTCCCAACCCGTGCCTTAGGCTTTCCTGCTTGGTGTTTTGTGTTTGTGCTCTCCTTCCCACTGTTGTTGGGGTTTGTCTGATCATGGTTGAGGTGCACAGATCTCTTTTGCCCTGTTATTTCAGCTGCAGCATGAGGAACCCCTGGAGAGATGCAGTGAGGGCTAAATGGTGATGATAACAATATTATAAATTGCTGCTGAAAGATGGGTAGTGCTTGTCTGTCTAAACCTTACCCTTGTCTGCAGGAGAAATGACATCATTTCCGTGCCTAGCTGACATGTAATTTTGTAGCAGCTTTGTTTTTTCCTCTGCAGACCTGTCGGGTCAGAGCGCTGTAGCTAACCCTGCACATTTAGCTCCCTCGATGCTCTTTCTTGTACACTTTTATTCCATTTTTAATGCGTCCAATTCTTTTTGATCACTCTGAGTGCATCTGATATTGATCCAGCCCTCAGTTCTTAGGGAAATGTAGGTTCAGTTCTTCCATACTAAAACTTTTTTCTCTTATTTAGCAGAACCAAGTGGATTCTTGCTGAGTTCTTCTGCACTGTTGCATGTCAGGTGCTATCCAAACTTTCTCTCCAGTCTTTTGCAGCTTTTATTTTGTGTAGAGTGTTGCTTGAAAAGCCTCCAGTTGTTACCCAGTCTGTCTACTGTTTGTTTTTGATCTGGTGTTCCCAGCTGTTTTTTTGGCTGTAATGGCAGTCCCTGCATCGCAAGGGACAGACACTTAGTTTCATTTAGCAGCATTTCACATAGCCGAAGTCTGGCAGTGGTTTCCTATCAAAAGGCCTTGGACCTCACATCGTGTGGGCAGAGGGAGGAGTTACAGTCACACTCTGGATAACCCACATAAGGAGTATTGTGTCTCCCTGGTGTCCCCTAGCTGAAATTCTGAAATCTGTTTGCTGGGTCAGTTTCC